CTTTTTCCCATTTATAACTTGATATTTTACAAGACAATCTCATTGGCTGACAAGGACTGTATAGCTAACAAGAAGCATGTATGTTTAATATTAATGCTCAGGAACTCTGATCTCTATCCCTTATTTCAGTTCTCATTTCTCAGATTTTAGGATGTAACTGAAAATGACAGTAGTGTCTTGGTTTAACTAATTGGTGAATCCTGAGTGAAATGTGGATAAGTAAACCATTTTGGCAGTGAGCAGAGAAGTAAAGCACACTTTTTTCATTAGTTGTCTCCCAGGCTAAAATTAAACAGAATGATATATTGCCAAATTTTAGTGATTTATGGGGGATCTGTTCTGCGTCAACTCAGTATCAGACTAATTGTCTGCACACTTGTATGTCAGAACTTTTGTGTTATTTTTAAAGCCTGTGTCTTGTAAATTGAGCGTAATATGAAAATAATTTTTAGATTTAAAAGAACGTCTCTAAATTATAATTTTAACTAAATTGACATTAAAGTAATACATTATTCTGTTTTATCACTTATTTAACATTCATGAAGTTCAAGTCTGGTTATGAGTCATTTTGGGTATAATGTAACCATATACTTATATGAACATTTATTGGTGAAGAATTTTTTAACTTGTTCATTATAATAAGTGAGACTTTCAAGATTAATTTTCCCATGAAAATGTTTGTCGCATTTATTTTCTTTTTATTTTTCTAAAATCCCAATTTAAAAAGTGTGCTAAGAACATATTGAGAAAGTTTTAAAACATTTAGTCAACACTTTTAGTTTTTGGCACATCTGAAAAGACTTTTAAAATAAGTTGCCTACTATGGAGAATGTCTGTAATTTCTTAATTTACTTTTGTCTTTTGCAGTTTGTGTACTTTAAATATGGACACTGCTTTGGTTATATAGTTTTTTTTTTGGTATTTTTCATCATAATTAAAAATTTTTATATATGGCTTATATTTGAGATGGATAATAGAATGAAACTTATCCTGACATATTTATTTTAGTTTAGTGTCTTTTTCCTTTTATTGTCTTTTAAATATAGCAGTTGGTAGATTCAAAAGAATGTATGTAATATATATGTAAGTTTTGAAGTAAAATCATAATAAATACCATTGATAGTTTGCTAAGAAATTGATTATTTGCTTTTTTATTCCCCAGGGGATCTTTTTTTTGTCTCCCCATTTGTGGTGGTTTTCTGATCTTTTTCTCTTCAGTGTTTTGTAGCTTCTTTTTTGTTTGTTTAATTAGGTTTATTTTTACTTACTCAGTTTGGATTCATTGGGCTTCTTGGGTTTGAGGTTTTCTATCCAACAATTAGTAAACTCCGCAGCTGTTATTTTGTTGTTAACAATATTACCTCTTTCCCATTCCTTAGTATCACCCTCTGAAATCTAATTAGACATGTTTGGTCTTCTTACTTAGTCCTCATATTGCTTAACCACATTTTAATAGTTTTCTTTCATTTTGTTTCTATCTCAGATGCATTTAAAAATATCTTACTATGTTTCTTCCATTTCATTATTTTTTTCTTCAACTATATTTATTCTGATGTTTAACCTGTCCTATAAGTTTTTACTTCAATAATTTCTGTAATTTTCATTTTTCTTTAAAATCTGTTCTTTGCTGATACTTTCTCATTGTTTGCTCCTCTTCATGATTCCATACTTTTATACTTGAAACATTTTATACATAGCCGTTTTATGTTCTATATTCGGATATCGCCAGTGTTAGAAAAGTATCAGTTTGTTGTTTACTGACTTTGACAGAGGAAATGGCAATGAATTGGAGACTTTTTTCAAATAGAAAATTTTATTCTGCTTTTTGCTAGTGACTATTGGGATATTCCTCAGCAAGAAAATTTAAGACTCATCTACCTCTGTTTCCTATTGTTTCTAGTTTGGGAATCTTAATTACTATATATTCTTTCTCTCAGCAACTTCCCTTTTCAACAGTTAACTAGTTTCAACTCTTTTCAGTATTTATTTTGGTGTTTACCTCCATATTATTAAATAAATCATGATTTTTCTTGCTCTTGTTCATTTTAGAGCATTATTTATTGATGTCTTACTGTGGGAAATATAATTGGCCAACTTTTGCCGTCTTTAGCTCCCACCATATATTCATCTTATATACCCATGCTCCCAATATTGTTATATCATAAGATTGATCAATTCATTTATTTTTTCAGAATTGATATAGTTTTATGAATATTATTCATGGCACAGTCATGTTGCAACCTAAGATTAGTTATCCTTTACTGTATAACATCTGTTTTTCCAGTATTAAACAATTGTTGTTATTAAGTTTTCCATGCACCTGTCATTCATTCACTGTTGCCATCCTGGGGATTCCCATCACTTGCTCCTGTTTTGGATCCTTTGTCTTCTGGATCCCAGTGTTTTCTTTCTTGTAATTCCTTCTTTTGGTGGAACATATTCTTTATTGTAAACCATATATTATTTGTGGTTTCATTTATACTTATGTGCTGTTAATTATAAAACAAATTATGTTACAGTAAGCTCATATAACAGGAAGCAATCATAGTAATTTAAATCTAATGTAATTTCATTTCTCTGTATGGATTTTAGAAAACCTTTAAGATTGAATTATATATTCTTGAATTTAAATAAATTTCTTAAACTCTCCATTTAAATGTGTTAATTCATTTCTTTAAAAATAAAAGGTTTTAATAAACAGTTTTTCATATTTGGGGGCAAATTCTATTGCTCACCTAAAACATTTTTGGAAAGAATAAGTTGTTATAAAACAGTTAAACTATTCAGATTATCTCTAGCTGCATACTGTAATACTATATTTTTGTTAGTTTGTGGAGATGAGAGTCTCTGGTGTAGTCGAGTTGCTAGAATTGTGTGATAACTGGATATAATTTTGGGAAGTCCTATTTTATTTCCATTAACATAATATAGCATGTTTAAGCCTTTGTTCTGTACACTACCAGTATTTGAGAGACAGAAGAATTTAGGTTCTTACAAGTAATTTGCATTCTGTTACAGGAAAAATATATATTAAATTGTATTTTCCCATTGACTTCAAGTACGACCCTCCTTTGCAATCTATTGTATTTAGCTTCTCCCATCATTTCTTCCTACATGTGTTTGAATGAATCATTGCTCGCCAGCACATGCATTGGTACATGGAGGGGGAATTGCTTACGTAGTCTCATCATGTTGCCTAGGAATCTGTACAGATTCTGTGTCCTTGGGAGAAGTAGCTTGTAAAGTGGAATAGGACACGTGGCAAATTGTGCTTGTTTGAAAGTTATGTGCAAAGCTTTGAAAAAAGGGGAAATTTCTCTTTCTCTTGCTGCTTCTTCATCCTATTTCCCTATCAGTGTACTTCACTTCTCATAGGATTTGGTATTCATACTAATTGTACTAATACTAATTGTTTAAATAATCTGCAATATTATAGAACAAATTGGCCTTTTTCAGCTAACCTGAGAACCTATCTACCATTTATTCTGACTTTTTTATTTTTTCAGCTTCCATTTTGTGGAAGGTCCTTATCTAGAAGCTGGAGATACAATTGAGAGCAAAACTGACAAATATTCCTTCCTTTATATTCCTTACATTTTTTTTTTTTTAAGCTGAGCCATCCTGCCACTTGTTGGCAGCTCAGCCACTGCTCAGCTCGGGCTGGGAATCGAACTGCTGTTGCTCAGAGCTCAAACTCTTAAGGGAGCTCTTAACCAACTGAGCCACTCAGCTGGCCCTTATATTCCATACATTTTTGTAGAGCTAATATTTTTATCAAAAAATATATGTAGAAATGCAAAATCTTATTTATGGTTATTCATAAATTGCACATAAATTAAAAATGGGCTATTCTGCTTTAGTTAAGTTCTATATGAACTACTTTTTATCAGAAAGGGACAAAAATATTTCAGTTAGTAGGATTGAATTGCAACTTTCTACACTTCAACTTTGTGTTTTATGTCAGAATGTTAGTCTGCATTTCATCTAGGCAGCTCTCTCTCTCTCTCTCTCTCTCTCTCTCTCTCTCTCTCTCTCTCTCTCTCTGCTTCTGAATATTTAAAGCTGTAATTTACAATGATTTATTGAGTGGTTATTATAATGCTTGCTTTCAAATCATGAATTAGTTTTGTAATATAAACAAAAAAAGGAGATACTATTCCATTCTCATGGCCAATATAGATATTGCTGTTTGCCTAAAAACATTAAGCGTATTATGCTTTTTAAAGACAAATGCATTTTAATGACATATAATTCATATTCTATAAAATTCATTATTTTAAAGTACATAATTTAATGTGGCTTAGTTTGTTTGCAAAGTTATACAACAATCACCATTTTCTAATTCCAGAGCATTTCCATTACTCCCCAAAGAATCATGTATCTCTTGGCAGTTATTTCTTATTCTCCCTTTCCCCTCATTCTGGCATCCACTAATCTACTTTTTTCTCTCGATGTTTTTGCCTGTTCTGGCCATTTAATGTAAGTGGAATCATACAATATGTGGTTTTCTCTGACTGGCTTATTTCGCTGTTTTCAAAGTTTATCCATGTTGTAGTGTTGTGTATCAATACTTCATTCCTTTTTTGTGGATAAATAATTTTCCATTGTATGGCTATGCCACATTTTGTTTATGTGTTCAACAATTCAAGGATATTTGTGTTCTTCCCACTTTTTGGCTATTATGAATAATGGTACTGTGAATATCTATGTACAAGTTTTTGCGTGGACATATGATTTCAGTTCTCTTGGTATATCTAGGAATGGAATTATTGGGTCATATTGTAACTGTATGTTTTGCTTTTTGAGGAAATGCCAAACTGTTTTCACCAAAGTATTTGCACCATATTCACCAGCAATGTATGAGGGTTTTAATTCTTTCACATCACTGTTAACACTTGCTGTTTGTCTTTTGTATTATAGCTGTCCTAATTGGTATGAAATGATGTTAAGCTTATTTTTTTTATGAGAAATTATAACAATTTTAAAATCTTGCTTTTTAGGTGCCGTACTTCTCTGTAGTGTACAAGGACTAGCAGTTAATATCGATCCAGTTTTATATACCTGGCTCATTTATCAGCCCCAGAAACGAACCAGTAGACATATGCAGCAGGTGAGACATTTTTATAATTCTCCAACTGAATAAATCTTTTCCTGTGTCATTTATTAGTTATATATTTTATTGATTTTATTTATGAATGTAACAAAATATAAAAATTAAAAAGTACAGCTCATGTTTCAAGGAGCATCTTCTAAAGGTTTTTCTTCACTTTGTTCTAATTTCATTTGAAACTTGTACCCACCCTCCTCCTTCCATTCTTTTATCAAATTCTCATAGAACATGAGGCAGTATTACTGCTGGATCCTGGGGCTACAGGAATAAAAGTCATGGTTGAAAGTATCCCTCCTCTAGAGTTATTTAGTTTATTTGAAAATATTAAGGCGATAGTAATACTATTTTTAGTAACTGCTATGTTAAACCTATGTACAGGATTATGTGGAAACAAAAGCGAGGAATAGTTCTCATTAACAGGTGAGGGTTTTAAAAGGAGGAGTTGCCAGTTGAGCTGAGCATCATAGCAGTAAGCCAGACAGGAACGGTTGTTTTAGGCTGACCTGTGTGAGCAGAGGCAAGAAAGATGCAATAACTTGACAAGAAAGTTATTCAGTGTTTTAAGACAGAGCCAAGTGTTCTTATAGAGACTCATAAAAATTGGAAACCAATTCATGAAATGTTTTATTTGTAATGCTAAGTTTTTGAGAAGTTATCTTGAAAGGTGAAGAGGAAGTATAGGAAACTGACATAAAGAGATCTAAATTTTTGAAAGTTTACTCTAATAGAATGTAGAGTATGAGTGATAGAGAAGTAAGACTATGACCATTTGAGAAAAAATTTAGTTGTAAATTCTTTTTTTTCTTTTGAGATATAATTGACATATAACATTTTATCAGTTTCAGCTGAACAACATAATGATTTAATATTTGTGTACATTGCAAAGTGATCACCAAAATAAGTTTAGTTAACATCCATTGCCAATATAGCTACAATTTTTCCTTACAATAAGAACTTTTAAGATTTACTCTTTGAAACTTTCAAAATACAATACAGTATTATTAACTATAGTCATCGTGCTGTATATTATATCCCATGACTTATTTATTTTATAACTGGAAGTGTATAATTTTTTATCCTATTTATCCATTTTTCTCACCCCTCACCCCTTGTCTCTAGCAACCACCCCCTATGTTTTCTATGTGTGTGAATTCATTTTTTTCTTTTGTTTTTTATGTTTAGATTCCACATATAAGTGAGATCCTAGCATATTTGTCTTTCTCTGCCTGACTTATTTCACTTAGCATAATGCTGTTATGTTGTTGCAAATGGCAGGTTTTCTTTTTTTTATGACTGAATAATATTCTGTTGTACTACAAATTCTTCATTGGTTATTTTATTTTTTTAATAACTTTAGGTTTACAAAACAACATAGTGATTAGACATTTATGTACCTCACAAAGTGATAACCCCAATAAGTCTATTACTACCCATCAGACATTGTATATAGTTACTGCAATATTATTGACTATGTTCCTTATGCTGTATTTTATAGCCCTGTAACTATATTTTTTAAAATTATAGTTGACATTTGGTATTATTGGGTTGTCAGAAAAGTCATGACGCATTTTTGCAACAAAAAACATAGAAAAAATATGTCATGACTTTTCCGACAACCCAACATTTTGAATTAGTTTCAGATGTACAGCTTGGTGGTTAGATATTCATATAATTTATGAAGTGATTCCTCCCGATAAGTCTAGTACCCATCTGACACTATACATAATTTTTAGAGTATTACTGACTGTATGTTCCATACTGTATTTTACATCCCCATGACTCTTTTGTAATTACTAATTTATACTTAATATCTTCACCTTTCTCGCCCAGCCACCAACCCCCCTCCCATCTGGCAACCATCAGTTTTTTCTATGTATATATGAGTCTGTTTCTGTTTTTGTTGTTGTTCTTGTTTGTTTATTTTGTTCCTTAGATTCCACATATAAATGAGATCATATGGTATTTGTCTTAGTCTGATTTATTTCACTTAGCATATACCCTTTAGGTCCATCCTTGTGTTCACAAAGGGTAAGGTTTCATCCTTTTTTATGACAGTTATACATCATTGTATAAATATACCACATTTCTTTATCCAATCATCTATTAATGGGCATTTAGGTTGTTTTCATATCTTGGCTATTGTAAATAGTGCTACAGTGAACATAGGGGTGCATATGTCTTTTTGAATTAGTGTTTTGAATTTCTTTGGATAAATAACTAGATTGGTAATTGTTGGGTCATGAGGTAGTTCTATTTTTAATTTTTCGAGGAGCATCCATACTGTTTTCCTTAGTGGCTGTATCAATTTGCAATCTCACCAACATGCACAAGGGTTACCTTTGCTCCTCATCCTGGACAACCCTTGCTTTTTGTTGATGTATTGATGATAGCCATGCTGCCAAGTGTGAGGTGATGTTTTGTGTTTTGTATTTCTCTGATGATTTAGTGACAGTGAACATCTTTTCATATGTCTATTGGCCATCTCTATGTCCTCTTTGGAGAAATAAATGTCTATTCAGGTCCTCTGCCCATTTGTTAATTGGATTGTTTGTTTTTTTGGTGTTGAGTTGTATGAGTTTTTTATAGATTTTGGATATTAACCTCTTATCAGATGTATCATGGGCGAATATCTTCTCACGTTCAGTAGGATGTTCTTTTAAATTTATTGATGCTTTCCTTTGATGTGCAAATCTTTAGTTTGCTGTAGTCCCATTTGTTTTATTTTTTCTTTTGTTTCCCTTGTCTGAGGTAATGTATCTATAAAACTATTACTAAGAGTAATGTCTGAAAGTTTATTGCCTATGGTTTCTTCTAGGAGTTTTATGGTTTCAGGTGTTAACGTTTAAGTCTTTAATCCAGTTTGAGTTTATTCTTATGTAAGGAGTAAGAAGGTTGTTCAGTTTCATTTTTTTACATCTATCTGTCCAGTTTTCCCAACACTGTATCTTGAGAACAGACAGACTTTCTTTACCCCCAATGTATATTCTGCTTCCTTTGTCATAGATTAAATGACCATATAGGCATGGGTTTATTTCTGGGCTCTCTATTCTGCTCCATTGACCTATGATTCTGTTTTTATGCCAGTACCATGTTGTTTTGATGACTACAGCCTTTTAGTATATTTTGATACCAGATAGCATGATACCTTCAATTTTATTCTTCTTTACCAAGACTGCCATGGCTATTTGGGGTCTTTTTGGTTTCATATAAATTTTAGTATTATTTGTTCTAGTTCTGTGAAAAATAGGGATTGCATTGAATCTATAGATTGCTGTGGGTAGTATGGACATTTTAATGATCTTAATTCTATCTATGAATATGGTATATGCTTTAATTTATTTGTATCTTCTTTAATTTCTCTTCAATGACTTATAATTTTCTGGGTGCAAATCTTTTACTTTCTTGATTAAATTTATTACTAGGTTGTTTTTTTGTTTTGTTTTTATGCAATTGTAAAAGGATTGTTTTCTTAATTTCTCTTTCTGATAGTTCTTATTGATGTATAAAAATACACCCAATTTCTGAATACTAATTTTGTATCCTCCTACTTTACTAAACTCATTTTTCAGTTCTAATAGTTTTTTTTTGTTGTTGGAATCTTTGGGGTTCTCTATATATAGTATCATGTCATCTGCAAATAATGACAGTTTTACTTCTTCCTTTCCAGTTTGGTTATGCCTTTTCTTGCCTGGTTGCTGTGGCTAGGACTTTCAGTATTATCTGAATAAAAGTGGTGAATGTGGATATTCTTGTCTTGTTACTGGTCTTAAGGAGAATGCTTTTAGCTTTTCCGTCGTGAGTATGATGTTAGCTGTGAGTTTGTAATATGTGAAACACACACACGGAGGCTAAATAGCATGCTACTAAACAATGAGTAGGTTAATAGTGAGATCAAGGAAGAAATCATACCTTGAGACAAAAGGAAATGAAAACACAATGACCCAAAATCTATGGGACATTGTGAAAGCCTTCCTAAGAGGGAAATTCAGAGCAATACAGGTCTACCTCAAGAAACAAGAAAAATCTCATATAAACAATCTAACTTAATACCTAAAGGAACTAGAAAAAGACCAGCAAACAAAGCACAAAGTCAGTGGAAGGAAGGCAGTAATAAAGGTCAGAGAGGAAACAAATGAAATAGAGTCTAAAAAAACAAAAAAACCCAAAAGATTAATGAAACCAAGAGCTCGTTCTTTGAAAAGATTAACAAAATCGATAAACCTTTAACCAGACTCACCAAGAAAAAAGAGAGAGGACATCCAAATAAATGAAAGAAGAAATGAAAGAGGAGAGATGACAATGGACACCACAAAAATATAAGAAAATACTATGAGCAACTATATACCAACAAATTGGACAACCTGGAAGAAATGGTTAAAATTCCACCTTCCAAGGCTGAATCAAGAAGGAACAGAAAACCTGAACAGACTGACTACTACTAATGAAATTGAATCAGTAATCAACAAGCTCCCAACAAACAAAAGTCCTGGACCAGATAGCTTCACAGATTAATTTTACCAAACATTCAAAAAAGAATTAATATCTGTTCTTCTCAAACTATTCCAAATAATTGAAGATGAGGAAGCCTTCCCAGCTCATTCTAGGAGGCCACCATTATGCTGATTCCAAAACCAGATAAGCACATTACAAAAAAAGAAAACTATAGGCTGATTCTTCATTGGCTATTTTATAAATGATGCAGTTATCTTCGGTACACCATCGATGTCCCTGAAGGTCAAATAGTGTTCTTGCAGCTTAAGTAAATTAGATATTCACTTGATTAATATCAAACACCTTTAAAGAGTTTGACTGTTTATTTTATTTTTATTATATTGTTTTATAACTATTTTAAAATTAAATATTAATACATTTTTCTAAGTTCAAAAATAATAGTTTTATTTAAAAGAGAAACTAATAAATACCCATAATTCTATTACTCCATAGTTGTAAATAACTTCATAGCTAATTCTTTATATTTTTCCCTAATTATTCACTTAGTATATATTTTTAGAAGTGTGATTAATAGCTCCAGGCATGTAGTTGAGCATATTTTAAGGCTCTTTTTTTTTTTTTAAGATTTTTATTGGGGAATTGGGGGAAGGGGAACAGACAAGTTGCTGTCCTTTTGTTCTTCAGTATAGTTGTGGAGGACGTTGCTTCACTGGCCCAAGTTAGCACCATCATTGCGCTCTTCCCAGGGAAGGCAGAGCAGTCACCGGCTTCTGGACGGCCGGTCACTGCAGCTGCTGGCCGCTCACGCTGGCTGCTGGCTACATATGGTAGCCCACTGCCACGGGGGGCTGCATCCTACATTGTCGCTGGCGACTCACGGCGCCCAGCTCCAGGTTGAGCTGTTGTTCAGCATCTTAGCTGTAGAGGGCAGTGTCACTGATACTCATATGTGGGATCCGAACTGGGGCCCTCTCGCACCCCAAGCCAGTTCTTAACCATCGCGCCACTCGGCAGGCCCTTTTAAGGCTCATTTAATATTTCCAGTTTGCTTCTAGAATTGGTGTACAGTTTACATTTTCACTAGCACTTCATAGTATTACTATTTGACTACATTTCAGCATATCTGAAAAAAATGTTTTTTAAATGTCTTACATTTTCTTTACTATGGAAATTTGAGAGAATAGTATAGTGACCTTATCATCCAGCTTCAATAATTATTTACTCACAAATAATCATCTTCACTCTAAAAATTGTTTGGTGAAAAACTGCCAACATCCAGTAGTGGTGAAAATGTAGAAAATGCATGAACTCATATAATACTGTTGTGAGTGAAAATTGATAAATTTGGCAGTATCTAATAAAATTGAAAGAGAATATCCTGTGATGCTAAAGTCCCACTTTTTGATACAGCTATGTTCATACAGTCTCATTCATATGAGCTTAAGAAGTCATGTGCAAGCCTTTTATTGCAGTATTCATTGCAATAGTATAAAATTGGAGACAAACATAAATGTCGGTCTCTAAGAAGGTGGATAGATAAAACGTGGTATATTCACATATAATACTTTATTATTAAAAATTATAGACTAGGTCTTAATATAGTTGCCTCAGAATTTTATATAATGCAAAAATCAGTTTCCCAAGGATATATACAGTATGAAAATAGCTATAATATATTTTTCCGAAACCACCCTTAGGTAAGTAAGTAAATTAATAAATAAATAAATAAATAAAGTGTGAGTAATTAATTTGAAGGATTGTATCAATATCATGGTATTGGTTGACTCTTGGAAAAATGGACAGTTAGTTAGCAGTCATAGATTTTAGCTTTATCTATAATATTTTATTTATTTCCTTTTAAAAAACCAAATATGATAAAATGTTAATTGGGCGACTGGATAGCTCAGTTGCTAAGAGCCCACTCTTAACAACTGGGCTTCTGGTTGGATTCCAACATGTTCCAGTAAGCTGTGCCAGTTAGCTTCGCCCTGTACAGCTAAGATTGTGAACAACGGTCCGGACTGGAGCTGGGCTATGAGTGGCCAGGGGACTGCATGAGCTGCTGTGTGTTGCCTGAGCTTCTGTGAGCCGCCATGAGTGGCCGGCAGCTGGGTGAGAACTGCGGTGAGCTGCCGTGAGCTGCTGTGAGCGGCCATCCAATGGCCAGCGAGCGATCTGCCTCAGCCGGGAAGACCACTGTGATCATAAAACCAACATGGTCCAGTGTGCGGCATCCTCCACAACTAGACTGAGAACAACTGCTCGGAGGTGGGGAGGGAGGTGGAAGGGGGGAAAAGTGTTAATAGACAGTATTATTGGTTGTATGAGAATATGGGTATTGTTTTAGTCTTTATAATTCCCCGTATTTTTACATTTATTATATTAATAACGGTGGAAAATTTTTTGTAGGGACAGGGTCAAAAGGCTTTAGATATTTTGGGATAATGGGATATTGATGGGGCAAGGATAGGAAGATCTGGTGCTAGGGTACAGCTGAAAATTGGGGGGAATGTTTAATACCAGAAGGTAGAAGAATGTAAGCAGAGCAATGGGAGGTTTCTAAAAATAAATACTGCTTATTTTGATATTTTTGGCTGCATTAGCCATAGTTGCAGAAAAGTGGAGGGAATCACTCATGGTTTATCTAGTATCTCTACATGCCTGACGTATAGCGCCCACATTAGCAATTACTCAGCAAATATTTATAGAGGGTCTGTTGCACACCATGTAGGTGTTTGAAATATAGCTGTATAGAAGACATCTAAGAGCTTTGCTCTCTTGTTAGAAAGAGTTTTTGTTTGGCCTTTTACTGTATTTTTACCTATGTGAAAATGCCCCTAGAGTTTCACCACTGAAAGATTCTTTTCGTTTGTTGTTGGATGTTGCCAATGCCATGGCTTCATTAATGTCATCTTTTAACTATTATGCTTGAATTAAGTATCACTATGCAGCACATAATTTTTCTGTAATTATTTATTATATATTAATTTTGAACCTGAACTTGGTTGTAATTTTTTAGAGTACATACTTGGTTGCGTTCCAGGTTTATAAAAACCACGAAATGCAAGGGATTATGGAATCATTAAATGTTAGAGCATAAAGGGGTTTTCCAGTAGAGTTCTCTACCCCCTTATTTTATAGATGGGGACATTTAAATGAATCAAAACTTACATTTATGCTGAGATTTCTAATCTAGGTCTTAAATACTATTTCTTATTTACATTTGTATAAATATTACCAATTTGACTAGATACTTAATATGAAAGCAGGTACTCTGTGTTATGATGTTTCCCACAGTGTATTTAATCTTTTCATTTTCTCATTCAGCTTTTTTGTCCTGCTACTTAGCCTAAATAACAATTTGTAAAGTAATTTACCTTTTCCTCTGTAGCTCATAACTTGAGTTATGTAATGTACCTATGTTTCTCATTGAAATATAATCCAAGTAATATTAGGTTCTGTAAATTGAGTGAGACTTACAGTTGGATCTACAAAAGTGTGGTTGTTGTAATGCTGAGGGTAACATTAGACTCCACTGCAACCTGACCAGCCCCCTACAGGTTCACCATTTGATGCAGCTGTATCACAGTTATCATCTGTTGTATCCCAAGCTGCAATTTCCTTCTCAGTTTGTGGCTAAAACCCAACATTTGATGATTGTTTTCCACTCGGTTCAACATTGATCTTTGATCTTGTAGCAAACTTAGAAATACCTATGTATTTTTTTTTGCCAAAAATCTGACAAGATTGTATTGGGCGTCATCAGCAGTAACATCAGACTTTATTTCAGTGAATAAAGATGAAACAGCTGCTTTATTGTTCAGCTCAGCACTCATGCATTCAATATAGGATCATAATGTTTTCCAGCTTTCTCTAGCTATAGATATTTTCTATGCTTTCTAACTATGCTGTAGATAGCACTTTGTCAGACAGATTAGAATTTTTAGCTATTCTTTAAAAATATTTGTCAGTTTATATTAACATGTACATAAACAATTCATAAAAGTATGTCTCTAAAATACTATTTTATGAAACCTTTTAATTTTCTAGTTATCACAATTTTCAAAATTAATTTTAGTTTTGATTTGTTCTTATTATGTAGTCTCTGCTTACTAAAATTGATGTTAAATTTTAATTTTTTGCAACTTCTCTTGGTTTTCATACAAAATTGTAATTTAACATTTAAATTGTGTCCGTGTGTGTGTGTGTGTGTCTGTGTGTGTGTGTGTGTGTTTATATGTGGGTGTGGGGGAGCAGGGGGTGACAGGAAAAGTAAGGTGAGAGATATTGATTGGTTATTTGATTGACTGATTAATTTAAGATAATACAGCCTCAACCTCATCTTGTGAAGGACTTTACTCAGTGATGCCATGTTAAACCTTCATTGTTTTAGAAATAGGAAATAATTCGGTTTTTCATTTGACTCTCTCCAGCAGCCTGTGATAGCTGTTCCTCTTGTTATGCCAATTAGCAGAAGGAAAGAGGACGAGGCATCTGTTGGAAGTGCGCCCTTGGCAAAGCAACAATCATGTCAGGCCTCTGAATATGCCAGCAGCCCTATAAAAACAAAAACAATAACAGGTATGTGTGAAGAACTTCAAAGAGTCTGTGATTTTGCCCTACCTCTAAGGTAAAAGTTATCAAGTTATCCGGGCCTTATTTTCATGAATGCTGGCTAAAGACACGAGACTCCAAAAACAGAAACAAAGGACTTTTTTTATCTACAGCATTACCAGTAATCAGAGTCCTAGCATTTTCTTGTGTCCCTGCTCTGTGCCTCATTTTCACAGGGTGTCACAAAGAGGAGCCAGGTGATACTTATATATATACAATGGATTAAATTACAGGCTAGGAATCTCAATTGAGAAACCTGAACCTTTTATAATGGGTGGTAGAAAGCATGCCTGCCGTTTTCTCTAGAGGGAGGCACTAGATGTACCTTGCAAAACTGTAAGTAAACTTGCCCTTTGCTCAGAAGGGGGACGATATTTTTGTCTTCTGAGGCTGTATGCTATACATACACCCTTGAAAACACATTTGGGTATAGACACTCACTGCCTCTACTTGTAAGACATGCAAAAACACAAGAGACCCTTGGAGAATTGTCTCCCAATAGAATGTTCTTCTTAAAATGAATTCTTGCAAATGACAGTATATCTCAATCTTCTTTCCTTCCTCTTCTCTCATTTCCTCTGCTATATCATCCATGCAAATATAAAATAAATTTTCTAACATAGAACTATCACTTTTTCATTTCATCTTAAGTGGCATTTTTCTGTTTTTCTAATGTTTGTGATAATGGGCCACCTACCTTCAGGTGATGTTTTATTTTTTCCTTAGATGTTTAGCTTTAATTCACATAACTCATATACTAACCATATTGCAAAAAACTTCTTATTTTCAATAAATGAAAATCCACTTACTGAATGTCTGTAATGGGTAAGACTCTGTTGTAAGTGATATTGAGGGTAGAAAATTTAATAAGATATGATCCCTGCCCTTAAGGAATTTAAAATGATCATATACATAAGGAAGTTCAAACTAACATTTGTGGTTGAGAGGAAAAGTTAGTATTATTTTGTTACCCCATTTTACAACAGTAAAAATGCAAATATATATTTTTGTGGGGTTTTATACATAACTGTTATTATTCTGTGCTCTGTTACTTCCCTGAAATATGATGTTATGTTTATTTTATAGAATCATTAGACTTTTAACTTGTCAGTATCCACAGCCTTTTGCTCTGTTGAAATTTTCAGTATCAATTGACAAAATTGATTAATTCTTGTATCATAGGAAGATTATTTGTAACTTGTATTGAATTTTTAATATAAAATTAGATATTTTTTTCCTTTAGTTACCACGCTAAGTTTTAGACTTTGGATCTCTTTAACTGGTGATTTTTTACATAAAGACTATAAATATCACTTCTTAATAAAATAAATGTCCACTAAATGTCAATTGATAAAAATAAATTTAATCTTATATGCATATTAACCACATATTTGAACCTCCTGCTTTACTATTTAATCCCGGTCTTTAAATCACACTTGATAATTGATTTAAATTAATTGTGAAGGATAGATAAAAATGATAGAAAATGCTTACAATTTAAATGAAATTACCTGACATAGAACTATATAGAAAATATGATCATAGATTTTAGAATGCATTTGCTCTGCATGGAGAAGTTTTATATATAAATTCACATCTCATATCAGTCACATATCAGTTCACAAATGGTATTAGTTAATATCTGAGATTTATTTAGCTTTCTTATACTTTCCCACTTTTTACAAGAAAATGTTAATTTTAAATTGAAGAAAATAATAGCCAAAAACATAATTTCCTATCATTAATTATTTTATGTAATATGAAGACATATATAAACAACACATTGTTCTTTATTTCAAATTATAATGTGAACTATGGTTCTTTGGTTCTGAGTTGTGGATATTTGCTTTATGTCTTTAGTGTTTTCCTGTCTCTAGAAAATGTAAGTTAGATATCCTGTTGGTATTCTCCTTTTAGATAGGTAAGGATATCAGTTCTTTACGATAGGTAAGGTTATCAGTACTTTACCAAGTACAGGTTCTTACACAAGCTAGCATAAGAATTTACAGTTATCAAACTAATACCTGTGTTTGCCTTGTTTTGGCACTGTGAGCATTTACAGGAGGTAAAAAGCCTTGGGTATAACATTTATTCTTTATGACTTTTGTGTCTTCCCACTTGGGTGCCTGCCATTTTTACTTCTCTGGAAACCTTGGCAGTAGTGCTCTCTCTGTTCTTGAGAATGCACTGTGCCAACCATATTTTTAAATTAGAATTAAGATTAAAAATTTTCTGTTTTATTTTTAATTAGAGTATACAGTTCCTGTTCTGGTTTTAATCTAAAATATTTAAAAATCTTTTGAAATTTTACCTGCTTTTAAATGTAGTTATCACTGTTTTTATTATTTATATTGCATCATAAAATGTAATGGATTTGGTAAGGTATTCATAGTCATTTACATATCATTTTTGTTGTTTTTGTTTTACTTTTATCATTTTAATCTTTTAAAATTTACAGTTCGGTAGTGTTAAGTATATTCACATTGTTGTGAAATGTACATTTTAATTTTAACTGAATTTTACAATGGAGAAACATTAGTGTTAATTTATGTCTGAATTCCTACTGAAATAATTTTTTATTTTTATATTCTCAACCTAAGGTTGAATGTTTGATCTTAAGTTCATCCCAAACAAGTTATGTAGTATTTTTGGCACATGATAACCAAGAAAGTCTTGCTGATCATGCACTGAGCTTGATTTTGATTTTAATTAATCAACAAGAAGCAGACATCTTCCTCTTTCATTCTTAATTAACCAATGTTAAGTAGCTGCCTGCAGTGGGAACATGTGCTGGATGGCTGGAAATGTGTTGACAGCAGAACAGCACTATTTCAGTGATATAGGCACATAGGGCAGGCCAAGCCAGAATAAATCATGTTTCACATGAAGATAATATTGGGTCGTTGGGAAAGTCATGATGTATTTTTCTATGTTTTTCAATGCAAAAATGTGTCATGACTTTCCCAATGACCTAATATATTATTATAAAATTCTAAATAATCTTCTACAGAATCTGTTTATTCCTTCAAAACAAAAAAACCCCTAAAAGATATATCTGTTTACCCTATGTTTCGGAGATGTTATGAATGTTAATTTGGAACTCTTGACAAAAATGTGTGTAATGGAGATGATAACTGTAAAAAACAGGGTGCTCCATAAATAACTGTTTAAAAATTACTATCCACTATCATCTTACATGTTTATACATTACTTTTTCAGTGCGAATCACTGTAACTATACAATTAAAAAAACAGAAGGCCCTTTTTTCATTGAAAGCTTTTATTTATTCATTAATTTTCAATTACAGTGAACATTCAATATTACTTTATATTAGTTTCAGCTGTACAGAATAGTGGTTAGACATTTATATAATTCACAAAGTGATCCCCCCAATAAGTCTGGTACCCATCTGGCACTATATATACCTAGTCAGTTCCACATTATTGACTATACTCCCTATGCTGTACTTTACATCCCCATGACTATTTTGTAACTACCACTTTGTACTTTTTAATCGCTTCCCTTTTTCACCCACCCCCTAACTGGCAAACATCAGCTTGTTCTCTGTTTCTGTTTTGTTTGTTTGTTTATTTTGTTCTTTATATTTCATATATGAAAGAAATTTTATTTGTCTTTCCCTGTCACTTAGCATAATACCCTGTAGGTCCATCCAAGTATTCACAAAGGGTAAGATTTCATTCTTTTTATATGGCCAAATAATATTTCATTGTATGTATGTACCAATTTTTCTTTATCCAGTCGTTTATTGATGGGCATTTAAGTTGTTTTCATATCTTTGATACTGTAAATAGGGCCACAGTGAACATAGGGGTTCATATATCTTTTTGAATTAGTATTTAGGATTTCTTCGGATAAATACCTAGAAATGCAATTACTGGGTCATAAAGTAATACTATTTTCAATATATTGAGGAACCTCCATACTGTTTTCCATAGTGGCTGCACCAATTTACAATCCCACCAACAGTGTACAAGGGTTCCCTTTTCTCCACAGCCTCACCAACAGTTTGTTGATTTCTTAATGATAACCATTCTGTCAGGTATGAGGTGATATTGTGGTTTTTATTTGCATTTCTCTGATGATTAGTGATGTTGAGCATGTTTTCCTATGTTTATTGGCCATCTCTATGTCCTCTTTGGAGAAATGTCTGCTCAGGTCCTCTGCCCATTTTTTAATTGGATTGTTTATTGTTTTGGTATCTAGTTATATGAGTTCTTTTAAATTTTGGATATTAACCTCTTATTGGATGTATCATTGGGGAATATCTTTTCCCATTCAGTAGGTTTTTGTTTTGTTGATGGTTTCCTTTAATGTGCAAAACTTTTTTAGTTTGTTGTAGCCCTATTTGTTTATTTTTTCTTTTATTTCCCTTGCTTGGGGAGGTAGATCAGAAAAAAAGTATCACTAAGAATAATGTCAGAGAGTTTACTGCCTATGTTTTCTTCTATGATTTTATGGTTTCGGGTCTTATATTTAAGCCTTTAATCCATTTTGAGTATATTCTTGTATATGGAGTAAGAAGGTGGTCCAGTTTCATTTTTTTGCATGTATCCAGTTTTCCCAACACTATTTATTGAATAGACTGTCTTTACCCCATTTTATATTCTTGCCTCCTTTGTCATAGGTTAATTGACCACATAGACATGTGTTTATTCCATTGACCTCTGAGTCTATTTTTATGCCAGTACCATGCTGTTTTGATTACTATAGTATAGTTTGGTATCAACTTTATTCTTTTTTAAGATTGCCGGGGCTATTCAGGGAATTTATTGTTTCACATAAATTTTAGGATTATTTGTTTTAGTTCTATGACATATGCCATTGGTATTTTGATAGGGATTGCATTAAATCTATAGATAGCTTTGGGTATTATGGACATTTTAACTATATTAATTCTTCCTATTCATGAGCATGGAGTATACTTTTATTTATTATTTATTTGTATC